TACAGAAAAAGCTGATAGTCACCAACATTATACATTATGCTGCTTTAGATATAATATAAGGTTATTATGAGAATACCTCAAAGTATGCACATAGACAGTACAGCTGGACTATCGATCAATGTGCAGCAGAGGTTGATGCACAACGTACTGTCTGAGTGCATTATACATCTTTTCCTTCCAAGGATACACCATGGAAATGCCAAAATTCTAAATGTTTAGAACAGAATCAGTGAACTTTTTTGTGTGGAGTCCAGTCAAACTCTGGTGACAGCCATGTTTGTTTTTATTATTAGAGGACACTTACGCGTGTAATCATTCCATATTTGGAATTCACATTTCCTAATATGGTAGGATGAAAATACCCTGTAAAATACCGCAAAATTACAGTATGCTGTAACTTATGGCATTATGGTGACAGATGTATAATATAACAATTCATTTTTAAAACTCAGAACTATTGATTGATAAAACGATACATATTTATAACATCTAGTGAATGTATTTTATTTTTCAGACGTATTTACTTAGTTAGACCGAGAATGACAACTATGAAATTGATAGCTGGTAAGTTTACAGAACACTACAACCGATTAACTTTAGCCGACCACTTGATGGAACCCTACACTGTGATACTTACCCATGTTTTGACCACATCACACTTGTATGCAAGTCTCCCATACATTCAATAGAATTTAGACAGTTTGTACTATAAAAATTGTGTACTTTCTATGAATATTGTAAATATATATACACACACACATGTCATCCTGTGTTTATGTACAGTGGAATACTTTATTTTCGCTGAAATTAATTTTCGCTGAAAAGACTTTTTGGGCGTTTTGCTTGGAATTTATTTTCACTTATTTTTGATGAGTTTAAGGTGAAATATAAGAAAAAAAAGTATATTCGCTGGATTTTATTTTCACGGAATTATCCCTTTAGTGAAAATAGCGAAAATAAATTCCAAGCGAAAATAAAGTATTCTACAGTATGACTGTATCCTTTCTCGTATTGAGTTTTAGGGGGGGGGCACTCACTTGAAATTCACCTCTCAATGATGACATCATACTCATTCACATAAAATCTTATATGATGTGAAGCCATTAAAAATATTCAACATAAATTCGTTAAAAGAATTGTCTGGAGTTTTCATTTTAAAATCCTATATGCAGTGTTGTATCGGTTATACCACCATGTCAAACAAACTTGGCAGTAGCTATACATTTATGCATTGTATTGCAATGAGGTGAGTAACTCAGTCAGTTACTGTCACCGTCATATTGTTCCAAACACCAAAACAGCAATATTGCCAGCTAGGTTGCTGACTGGTTTGCTATGCGTGTCTGGAGATCGTAACATGATTAGTACAAGTCACGTTAAACCAACCTTAACATGTCAAATTAGTAGTTGGGCATGTTGAATATAAAAAGAAGTCTCACGATGCAATTGATCTTTGATTTATTTCATTCTATCATGTAAATTGCTGTAAAGTAAATGACAATTTTATCCAAACAAAATATATGTACTGCCACAGTCTGAAATGTCCGATTCAGCCGCTGGTTGGTTTGGTGCATGTCATAACATTCATGAATGGGCGCATTTAACCATACAGCACATCCTTGTACAAATGGTTTGAACCAACTAGTTTTAATTTGAAATGAACAATCTCGAGACGCACATTGCAAATGAGTCAGCAACTCAGCAGACAGCTGGCTGTTTTGGTGTTAGAAACAATATGACGTTGACGGAAATATGTATTCAGTGTGAGATTGAAATGTGTTGATTTTGTTTTTACAGATCATATCAACTCTGATAAACACGAGTCTAGAAGTAGAAAATACAAAATTATATTAGTTCCGAGAAAGGTAAGTTATTCTAGTCATGTATCACTTCCTCTAAGGGTGATCAAGCCAGCCATACCCTGCATTGAACACAAATTTCATCACCAGACTTATCTCTCAATTCAACTCAAAAAAACGATGTCTAAATTTCATACTGTATTTGCTCTATTAGTAGCCCATGCTCTTTTATCACAGAAGTCTGTCTGTGGTCAAAGTAAGTTATTTTGTTTAGATTGTATTATATTAAACACCTAGATCTAAAAACAATTTGTTTTTCAGTAAAAAGCTGTATTGAAGAAGCATGATAGTGCATGACGGTGTGGAATCCTGTCATTGTACGCAATTGCTTGCACTTCGCAAGACTTTTTTTGGTCGCTATTTCTGGCTGTTATCTCTCAATAAATAATTACTACAAGCAGAAAAAGAAAAGATGTGTAATGATAAGCTTTTAACGAGGATACTGCAAAAGTGGGATGACAAATAGATCTTTTTGTCTTTGTGTCCATACCAGTTGAGTGGGCAACTCAACTGACACCTGTCAGTACAGGATCGCATCGACCTTCACACTGGGTTAATTGATACATTTGTGTACTGACTTTGTGCAGAATTCTCCTATTAATCTCATATTATTTGTTACATATTTTCATAATCCATGTTGTGTAATAGTAGCTGTTATTTTTCTTTTGGTAGTTGTATGTTTGTGAAATGATTCTTGAACAGGAAGGTGTTTATGGAGGTAAGTAATATAATGAATCTCATTTTTGTCTTCCATTGTTGATCGATCATGTTGATTGGTCAGAATGCATTCATGTGACCTGAAAGAATAAGAAAATTAATATTGTTGATTCAGAATACTTCACAGAAAAATGGCCGACTCCTAATGTCTGCATCTGAAATTTATGGGGTTGTGCACCAAAAAGGGATGTTTTCTTTGGTGAAATGCACCACATCCACCATCAATACTTGCAATTTGTTCTTAAAAAGTCAGGAGAGACAACAGTGACATTCAATGTCGGCAGCTGTTGCCTGACATAAAAATATTTTTTAAAAATCTTCAAATAACACTTTCCAATGTTATTTGATAGATGTCTGAATTGTAAATTGACTTGTTTTTTTTTTTTAGATGTTACATTTGAAGAGTTCCATTTAGATCTAATCCCACTAGATAGAGATATACTGTCTTTAGAACTTCCTGAATTTTTTCCTGCTTATTTTATGGTAAGTTTGGTTAGAAAATCATTTTCACTATTTTGAGCATATTTATTATGCCATATCTCAATTTGTAGACTGGTGACATAGGCTGAAAAAAAAATCATATATTGTAAATGATAATGTGTCAAAAAAAGCTTTTTTTCTTTACCATTGTGTTCTTTGGAATTGTTCTAAAGTAAAGATTCTTGAAAATATTAGGACAAGTTTCTCAAAATACATGTATGTCACTGTGACACACACACAATGTTATTTCATAGTGCCATGGGACAATAACTTCACGATTTTACAAAATAAACCAATGAACATTTAGTTCATGTCATGCGATTTATGACTAATTTTCACAAAAATTATGAGCAGGCTTCCACCTCAATACATATAATATGTCTTGTCAATCCTTATATGGTGCTGAATGGCACTTCTTGTAAGCAGATTATTTATCCTATACATCTGATTAATAGTGATGTACTGTGGAATACTTTATTTTCGCTGGAATTAATTTTCGCTGAAAAGGCTTTTTGGGCGTTTTGTATGGAATTTATTTTCACTGATTTTCGATGAGTTTAATGTGAAATACATGTATAGGAAAAAAAGTATATTCGCAGGATTTTATTTACACGGAATCATCCTGTCAGCGAAAATAAAGTATTTTACAGTATTCTAATATCAAGATTGTTTAATTATAATTAGTGTATCTCTAAGTGATTACTTCACATGTACTAATGTATAGTACAGCCAAAGAGTTGCCATTTTTGACTTACGTACTATTCAACATGAAAATGTTCATTCATGACAAATTATCTTCTGAAATTTGCATTTAACAGACCAAATTTTAGCTTGTTTTAGATACTTCTGTTCAATGCCGCTAGGTGATGCCATTTTGAACTGTGCTTGGTTTAAATATATATTTCAAAGTTCAAAATTCTCAAGCTTCTATGTTATTTGGTTATTTCTAAATCAATAATCTAATCAGCTGTGTTGTCTCATCAGGCATTGCCTGTTACATATTGGAATCCACTCATGAGAAAATACTAGTAATTATGATTATTGATTTAATTTAGTATCACTTGTATTAAACTCCAAATCAAACAATCATTTACTCACGTATACATACATAGCCATACAGGTCATATACTTGTATTTCCATCGTGATTTTATAATGTAATTATTTTCAGCATGGTGATCAAACATGGTTGCATACAGTGGCTACATCACTAGTCACCATACAGTCATTATTTGGAACCATACCTAATGTGCATGGACAGGGAAGATGTGCCAAGGTTAGTCACAGTCAGCTTGAATTTATAATACTCTAGCATTGATGTTTACTTCTGCATCTCCAGTTTGGCATCACTAACTGAAACACAATGAATGATGATGACATTACTTACACTGAAATGCAAAGAAAGATGACATCACTTACACTGAGACGCAAAGAAAGATGACATCACTTACACTGAAATGCAAAGAAAGATGACATCACTCACTGAACCACAATAAAAGATGACATCACTTGCACTAAAAGAATGATAACATCCCTTGCACTGAAAGAAAGATGACATCACTTGCATTGAAACACAAAGAATGAAGACATCACTCACTGAACCACGAAAACTGATGATATCACTTCCACTGAACCATAATGAATGATGTCATAATTGTCTAATATGATATCGATGTAATTTGGTCATAGACATACTTCTGACAATTACATAAGCACATGCACTACCAATCAATCAAATATACTTGTTACAATACAGTAATATTATGACATCATTGTTCGATTTCTGTCATACAGCGCATAACAATATTTTCAATTTCTATTTTTTTTTGATTCATAGATGGTTGAGGATATGATGAAGTTGATCCAAGAAAGACAGGGAGAGCTTAAATCGGCACTAAATAATGAGATCGGACATTTAATATTACTAGATAGAGATATAGACTATGTCACACCATTGTGTTCAACTGTCACGTATGAAGGATTACTAGATGAAATATTTGGTATCAAAAGTGGTAAGTCAGTCAATACAAATTTTGCTCATATTTAAAGTTCCACAGTTGTCGCACTGTGTCGCTTTCACCAATATGCATTTTTGTTTTAAATCTTTTTTGAAGATTTTGCATTTCCAATTCTTCCAATTTTATAGTGGTAACACGCAGGATTCATGTCTCCACAAAACCTTCCTTATTTACTGCGGATATGCATGGAGGCAGCTGATAAAACTATCTCACAAATTAGTTCAAAAGTTGCCAATGTGTCTCACTGTAACCGTAAATACATCGATGGTTTCAAAAATAATTTTGTTGTTTAGTCACAGCCTATGAACTGGCCGTGACATATGCAAATTAATAGAACGCCCTGTAATATAAGAGGTTGAAAATTAGATGGCCTAACTGTAAACCGAAAATTGCACAAGTAAAAAAATATATCCTACAGGAATCAATAACAGAAAAAAAATTCTGTGTGTCTAAATCTTAAAGAAAAAATATTCTACATCATTGTAAAAAAATTATGGAAAAGTCATCATGGGAAAAAAATTGCCACAAAACTAAGTGAAGGAAAAAATAGTTTGCACAATTTTTCTGCCACCCCTCCTAGGTTTTTCTCTGATCCACCCCTAAAACTTATTCAGGTGTTTATGACTTTATCATATAATTAATTTACATTTTATGGACACATTTATGTGAGCTAAACCTTGCTTATATATATATAGGACAGTTTTGACATTCAGGGGATTTGCCTTTATTCTTCAATTTTCTATCAATGATGGAAATATTAAATCTAAGACTCGCGCACAAAATTGAGACACACTTGCCAAAGTGAATACACATCAAATTCCTACTAGTGTCATATATGTATTAATCGATCACATTGTAAAAAATACTTTGCATATAGGTTCTGATAATTAATATTTTTATTAACAAATTTCACCCAAAATTTCAGTTTAAAATCCATAATAATTAATTAATAACTGCAGGGCATCACACTGGTGCAACTCGCATCCTGTTACACAGTAAAATGCATTAGTTGCATTTTGAAAAGTACATGTAAATTATGCCATATTCATCTGAAAAATCGGCATATCAACATTGAGCTACAAACAAAAATCAAATCATTCAATTTTTGCGCAGATGTTTGGTCTGCACATTTCAAGTATTATGCATGATCTCGCAGTGAACAGAAAAGCACCTATTACCCAATACAAATGAGCATTCTGGTGACCATCTGTTTTGAAAACTGAATATCCTGGTTGCACAGCTTGTGGTTGAGTCAGTATGTATACTGTATATTTGCTGGTCATTCACACAGTGTCAGTCAGACACTAAGCCACTACATTGGTGTTATTATATTAATAATAATTAATGTATGTACATCAGGTTCTCCTTCATGGTCACTGCTGCTCAACACCATTTCCATGAAGCAAACTGTACAAAATAACCAGGGTTACCCAAAATTGGTTTATAGTAAGAACAATATACCGGTACATCCCATTGTATGTACACATTCACAGCACACTCATCCTGAACACATCAATATCAATTGAATCTAAGCCCATTTGTAGGTTTTTCATTGCTTATTGCATACAAGTAAATTTACAGATAAACATGATATTATTATTCAGGTTTCAGAGTTAATATATGGGACTATATGTAGGAAAAGTAAAACATGACTCATTCAATTAAAAAAAAAATTTGAATTGTTTATAGTTTTAAAGAATAAAAAGTTTATACTTTCAGTAATTTGCCCTATGCTGTGAAAACTCTTGCGTGTCCATTTTGAACCTATCCACTTTTGGAAAACTGTTTTGAGCAAACTTAAGCAGTGTTGTGACAAGTATACTGCTATGAAATGTTGCAATTTTCTATGACTAGTGAAGAAAAATTTGTTGTTTATGAATTAAAAGTGGTTTTAGTATTTTTCCTTTTTTTAGTATTTTTCCTCAGTTCTTATTATCTTACCAATTTTTTATTCATGTTTTTGATTACCTGGTAAAACAAATGCATCACAGCATTTTTTAATTTTTTTTGGCAGGAAAAAATGAAAAAGAAATTAATTTTTTTTGAAAAATAAAAATAAGAGCACTAATTCAATAACAATTTCAGAGTGCCATAAAAAAAAAAAAAACTTGTGATTTGATTTTGGAAAAATTTACCAGAAGTTTTTTACTATTTTGTTTTTCCTAAGGGCATTGTTTGTTTTTAAAGTCTTTCCATTTTCAGAAAGTTTGTTTGAGAAGCTGAAATATTATTAACAACAAACATACAGTGAAAATTGCCAACATCTGTGAAATTTGAGGAACTCCATGTATTTTGAATTTGGCTGATCAAGTCTGATTCTGAAGTTATGCTTTCTTGGGAATGTAAATTATTAAAACTGATTTAAATAAAAGTATGGGGCAATTTTTTTCATCTACTGGTAATTGCTAATTTATCATTCAAGAAATGACACCACTTATTTGTGCAAAACTTTCACCAATGTAATCAACACATTTATCTTTTGAGGCACCTTTATTCTTTGTGGACTGGATACGGCTTGGTGGCCCGAGGTCGTACGGCGGAAGCGCCCGAGCTTGCGAGGGTGCATAAGCCGTACGATCGAGGGTTTTATCATATACCTTATATGAAAAAAAAGTCTTTAGTTATGTTATTTTTCGCTCATCTTGCCCAAAAGAAACCTATTCGATTTCATCCGGGTTTCGATATGGGCCTTTTTACTGGTACGGATTTATACGGAGGATTCTAAATGACGCAAAGGCGTCAACATCTCTCACACAATAGACCGGTACCGCATGACGTCAGTGACAGGGGTCTATAGACAAACTAATGTCACCAAATATATCCACAAATTACGTTTTAATGAAACATCAAATGAACATAAATTTATAACAATATTTAACGGTAATAAATACGAACTCATTATAAACTTTCTTTCTTAAGAATGGACACTACAGTTCAGCTAAGTTGGTCATTTACTGACCGTCCGACAGCGTGCGTTTTCTTGGAGCTGATGTTGTAGCCACAGGTCAAGACATGTTGATTTCACAGTTGTTAAAAACCGTAGTCGGTGAAAGAGAAACAATTGAAACAAAAAGCAGTTTGGTTTACAGTTCCAGATTCTGGCGTAACTAAAAATATCTGAAATGCGCCGACGATCTTCCGTTGAGAGACAGTATCGTCAGACAGTCAGCTGTCATCGGTGTCGCTGGGTGTATCCCGCGATACCGATGCCAGCTGAATGTAAGTATCGTAGTGCTGTAAACTTGACACGTTTTTGTGACCAGTTATATTTATGATTGGTTGTGGTGGAATGCCGGCTTTCGTCAGGGTAATAATGAGTCCAACTGGTGTTTTCAGTATATTTTCCTTCAACAGAATAATATCGTCAGCCATTATTGAAGCGCAGACTCAAATTACGCGCGTTGTTTGTAAACAGAGTAGTAATTCCAGGAAATAGACGCATTTACCAAATATGGTAAACGGGGCCTGGGCGTGATATGGAAAAATTATTGCACAGCTCGCGCATCGGGATTCCTATAGCATTATGAGGCAGGGCAATATGAGGTATATGATAAATCCTCTTAATGCGGGCCTTGAAAGAATCCATTATTTGTATTAAAGCAACCTGTTTCAATTAAATTTTTTCCTTTTTTAGTACCTGTTTGGACACAATCCTAAAACCGGGGACATATGGATTGACCTCTGTGCGTGTGCCTCTGTGTATTTATATTATACATATTCATATGCACATCATTTGTTTCACATTCTGGTTCAAGATGGTCGAATGGTGGCCATTTATGTGCTGAAAAATCATCAAAAATCAAGCATTTCTGACATTCCAGAATTGGACCTCGGCTGTTTACTGATGGATTTTGTTCAAACTTGGAACATAGATTGGACATTATGGGACCTTGATGCATCATGTCATTTTGTTTTTCTGATTGGATTCAAAATAGCCAATAGCCAATTCGCAGTTCCAGTGCCATATCTCTGACATGTTTTGACTGATTATGTTTGAATTTTATGTATTCATTAATATACATCATGTCATAGATATACAGATGTATTGGTTTGACGAGCAAATTTAAAAAGGGCGAAAATGGTGGCCATTTTTGTTCTAAAAAATCACCCAAATCCAGCATTTCTGGCTTTCAGGAACCGGATCTCAGTCGTTTATGAATGGATTTCGTTCAAACTTGGCACATATATTGGACATTATGGGACCTTATGCACGTCAATTTGTTTTTAAGATCGGATCTGGAATGGACAAATTGTAGCCATATATATGAAAGCTTTTCCAGGGCAATATCTGACACGATTGACTGATCATGTTTATACAACATCATTTTTATATAATTTATATATACATCATGTCATACATATGCACAGGTATTAGTTTGATGGCTTAACTGCTTGGATTGTAACTGTTATCACTTCAAAGGAAAAATCATTTTGCTATACATGTACATGTACCAGTAAAAGTATTGTCCTAATATGTGACTTTGAACTCAGGAATGGATAATGGTAGTAGAAGTTATTCCAAACACTCACATGATTTATTTCACCAATTTGTAGACCATATTATGCAATTTGTATTTCAGGTTTTTGTGAATTTGACAAGGACGTTACTGGTTCCGATAAAAGCACTCGATTGCTACTCAACTGTGAGGATAATGTAAGTGTCATATTTATATTACTCTACGCATATCTTGAAAGACATTGAATGCTACTCGATCCACATTTTCACACAGTTGTTGTCTTTTTCACAGTCTGTTCAGACAAGTTTTTATGTAAATATAAATACTCACAAGGATTCAAGTCAGGCGAGTGTAGTGTTGGTAAAACACACACTGCATCCATATTATCAAGAAAATGGCAGAATGCTTATTCTCTGTCATGGTGATGAATAACGGCAATTCCAGCATTGATGATATCCTCTAAAATAACTTTAAAATATCTGAACATTGACAAACAACCTATTTTCTTTGAACTGCAAAAAGTCTAAAAATTGACTTGTCCTACAATGTCAATTAATTCAATTAATATTACATACATATAACTATATGAATAGTAACCATTATCATAATTATTTTATTTCAGATTTTTGAACAAATCAGAAACAGGCATTTCTCTAATGTGTTTGAATTTCTGAGTTCAAAGGCCAAGGCTCTACAAGTTGGATTTAATGTGAGTATTGTCTTTCTCACATTTACTGTGCGCAATTAAAACTACAACTACCGAGATAGATTTGTTGATACAAAGAGCTATGCTTAGTGTATAAAAGTCCAATCAAAGGTTTATGAGATAGTGATATGCAATTAAGAGCTCCCTCTACATGAATTTCTTGTGTACTGCATCAATGAAAGGTATACAATGGCCGCTTGGAGAGATTTAATTAGGTATCTTGTATTCAAAAAGTCAAAAAAGCATGTACCGATAATATAAATTTTATGAATAAGCAATTCTGAGAAAAAAAACATGATTTTTCTGATTTTTTACAAACTTTCTCAATTCCATATGAGTGTCTCTAAAAATGAATGTTTGGTATCATCTGGCAATTTGTGTAAATTCAAGTGTAATCTTCAGTACAAACAAGTGGCATACCCCCTTATAAATTTTCGGTCACATATAACTATAAGCACTTTTGTAGGGAAGGAACTTAATTTTTATTTTTTCACTAGGATTTATCAGTTTTAATTTAGTAAACTATATTTTGACTAGGGATGAACTAAATAATCGGAGAAACTGAACTTTTATTTATAGTTATGATAGAGTACGGTATAAACTAGTTAAACTAGTGATGGACATGAGTAAGTAGGCATACATTTAATTGTGAAAACAAGATTTGGATACTGTTTGTGTTAACTTGTATGTTTCTTGCTTTCTGGTTCCTCTAATAGAAAAGACACACTTTGGATTCAGTTGGCGCTATGAAAAGTTTTGTAGCCAATGATTTACGAGGGTTGAAACAACAACACAAGTCTCTAGCTATTCGTAAGTTACTGAAAATGAACCATTTGTATTGCATGAAATATTTATTGAATTTGACTATAATTTGTGTAAGTCAAATAATCCCAGTCTGAAATTTGTCAAGACTTTGCTGTGTTTTTTTCTTGAATCCTACCATTTTATTTCAACTTGTATATTCATATTGATAACAAAAAATAGTTAACAGTTCTTTTAATTTCATTCATGCATTTTTGTTTGAATTCTGCTTTCCTGTACGTCTGCTTTCGTGTACGCTAAACACAAATAGCTTAGGTAGTATGCAAGTTCTGTGGTTGATGTTATAAAAAAATTTCAATAAAGAGAGGGATCTACTATAGTATAAACTTCTGCTTGAGTAGGAGCCCCACTCCAAATTTGCAGAATTTTACAAAAGTAATCTATCTGATAATAAGCCCACAGAGGAATGGCCCCACATGCTTTCCTATTCAAGCTGAATGTATTTTCATACCAATAATCTCGGCATTCTCCAGGGTGGCCGGTAGACATAATATGTCATGTCTTCTCCATATTGTAACACACAGTCTTTCGGGTCCATCCGGTGTCATGTGCTAATCACCAAATTCCATACTGTGTGAATCATGATTTTTGATTAGCGAGGTCAAGGAAAAATTTTAAAATCTGATGGTATGCAAATAGGCAATCAGATATGTGAAAATCATCAATGAAGACAAATGATAACTTGAAGTCAGTAAATAATTTATTCCAAAGCTAAATATAGGTTGTACTCTATATTTGGTAATACATTCTTTTCTGGAACATGAAAATGCATCTAAGGATGGGAGTAACCACGACAACAACCAGCAATTCTTTTTATTGACTATTTTAGTTAACAGTGAACACAATAATGCCTCATACTTGAACTTAGCATAAATTATTGCTCTGAAGAAATTTTTTTTTTTTTTTTTAAAATGGGGGCTTATACTCGACCAACTATGACTACACAGGAACTTTAGAGTCTTGTGTGCGTATCGACTAATTTTTTTATGAAAAATGCATCAAATAATAATTTCTTTATATAGTGTATTTGCATTCATGATTCACCCAAAGATGTTGAAAACCCAATCACAGCCAAATCCATGATGCTTAGGCTACTGGGTAGTCGGTTATCTTGCAAAAATGCGTATTGTGCACTTATTAATTGTGTTTATTTACACTGCGACAACTTCACATGACGAAAATAGATGCTGGTAACAGAAAAAATGCTGAATCCTTGATATATTTCGCAATGTGAAATAAACGACTAAGTACAAACAAAAAGTGGAGGTACCCACAAATGTTCCCATGGAAACAATGACTTTGTGATTTCCCCATAGCGATAAAAAGTACTCTGACGTCCATTTTGAATTAAAAATTGGTCAAAATACATACATAATTCATCTTTTAGATTTAGTGGTGGGTAGAAAAGCCTGCCAGTCACAAGAAATAATTTAGCAATTCATGCTTCAAAATGTGTTAGCCATGTCCATTCCTAATCTAATGTTTCTGTTGTATTTGTCTAGATATTGGAGCATGTGAAGTGATTATGAAGAAAAAAATAGCCATGGATTTTGAAAGACATATGAAAGCAGAACACAGTGAGTCATGATAACTTTGTCAGATAAAACTCACAATTTCTCCAATTTTGCTCAAATCCATAAAATTACAAAAAACCATGGGGTCAATGTATGTAAACTTATAAAATCTGCTACATATGAAATAAAGCAAGAGAATAATACAAAACATATGACAAGATGAATACAGGATTTAAAAATCTAAGTAAATGTGTACTTCTTGCGTGACTCGACTGACACTTATATACACATCATGGCATGTCCTTCCCTAGGCCACCAAGCATTTGCAAAAAAAGGGTTGCTTAATAACAGCTCATTACATGCAGAAATCCTTGAAACCTGTCCACTAGTGCAATCTTTAAGCCAAAACAACGCACAGAGGTATATCGTGATGCAAACACATGTAGTTGTGCTTATTACCTGGTGCACCAATCACGCAACAGAAAATTGTACATTGGTATGGTAATCTTGGAAAACATTTCAGTATAATTTGAAATTTTTAATTTGGTAAAATTAAATTCACATTTTATAACAAAATAAATGTAAAAACAAAGAAAATCAGAAGCTCACTACAGCTGCACACAATCTTTATATTTTCTTGAATACCTCTTCCCAGCATTCACAAAGCCCTACATGTAACTTAATTTTTGGGATGACCATTTCAACTCAAAATCCGTACCAAATCAGTCCTGTTAGAGGGTATACTGCTGATCATTTCGTGTTTAGTACGTCTGGGAAATCAACATTGAAAATAACCGCAAGAAATTTGAACACTGCACAGACACATATGCTCTAGGTCAACAGTTCCTGGAACATTTTATAGTTAAAAAATGTCCGCACCACATAGTAAAATGTGTTCGTCAAGTTCAAGTACGTTTATATTCCTGACAGTAAGATTTTAAAATAATCCTAGATGCAATACGCAGGCATTATTAAATCAAAAATTCATCTGCTGAGGCAAACACCTGTCAATGTGGATGTTCTGAAAATAGAAGAAACAAAATCTGCAAGAAGTGTGCCGTCTGCTATCGATGTAATGCTTGTCCATAATGATGACAGAATGTTTGCATTGATAGAGGGCGCACATCACTCCTTATTTAAAGTGCTGACAGCAAAATAGATGTCTACATGTCATGGATGATAACCTTCTTTATGAACATATTGACTAAATATGACCACCTAACTTAGCGGTAGTAATTAATACAGTAAATGCTATTTTTTCACAGATTTATTGGAAGGGGTTGATTTAAAGGATTGCCATGGTTACATTGAAGAATTGATATGTAGACAGGTAAGAATTTCTATTCACTGTATAATTTGGGGTATAATTTTCTACATGTGGAATGTCAGTCTTAAGACTCTTAAAATTTTCCATTCAAATAATGTGAAGAGATACTCATGCAGCATTTATTGAGAAGGTTATACGATTTATTTTGCATTCAGTCATACTTAAAAGCGATTTGATATTTTTTTTCAGTTCAAAATTAACAATATTCTGTTAGTCTGCAATGGTGGTGGGTGTGGTGATATTATCAATTTCATATCATAATCATATCTTTGTCATATTTACTTCATTCATACATGTAATCTCGCTTTTTCTTTCACTAGTCATGTGACTTAACACTAAGAACTAACTCAGTAAGTTTGTACTCACAATAACCCACTATGTATGTATACCACTATACCATATTTCTTTTATTAGAAGTGCACTCACTTATACAAATATTGAACAAACCTTTAATTTTGAGTAAAATCTTAAAGTTGATGTTCAACATGTCACACTCTCTGCGCAGCACACATTCAGATTGCGTATAAACTGAAAAACAAAAATTCCGTGTGCTGTAAAAGTCACATGTAACTCGTACCACATCACTCAGCAGTTGTATACGCTGAATATTATTTACAAACAAAAGTTAAAGTTGACCATCATCTCCATAGAAACTAAAAATAAAAAGTTGAAGTAGCTGTATTGCTATTCACATGTAGAAGGCAGTTTCTGATTTCCATATGGTAGATGAGTGGATTTAAAGGGTGGTGGTCGTTGCACAGCACATATTGAATTTCATGTAAACAAACAATGTATTTTACACGCATTGTGTATATCTCTACGAGTCCCATACTGAACAGGACGCAGTGTGACAACCATCACCATTCAAGTTACAGTGTAGGAACATGTATTTGTTGTGCTTATATTAGGTAATATACAGTACTTTAAGTTTAGTGACATCGGTTTCGTTAACATAATTGTGTACTGTAAAATACTTTATTTTAGCTGGAATTAATTTTCGCTGAATAGACTTTTTGCGTGTTTTGTATGGAATTTATTTTCACTGATTTTTGAAAATATAGGAAAAAAAGTATATTCACTGGATTTTATTTTCACTGAATCATTCTTTCAGTGAAATTAGCGAAAATGAATTCCAAGCAAAAATACTCCACAGTATTTCTGTATTTGTAGTTATAGCATGGGATCACTAACACCTTTGTCATGTGACAGTAGAGCTCAATTTACTTTCCATTTTTAATTCTTCTCTCTATAGAGGGACTGGGGTAAAAGTCTGAAGCTGCAAAAATGTTTGAGGGCTTTCTGCAGCCCTATTAATACATATATTGTGTTGTGTAACTCTTCTTGTATACCAGGCCAATAACCTGTAGATATCATACCTGATACGTAAGGCCAGACTTTTTTTATTTCTTGTTTCTCTAGTTTTTATAAGACAATTTTTTTTGAGGATGGCGAAAACAAAAATTAAATTAATTCTTTTTTTCTATTAGATTTGTGTGATTCTCAAAGAATTGAGATCATTGATCGGAAAGAAGAAATGAAATAAAATTTTATTCCATGTATAACCTTGTTTCTCATCTGTGCGAGACTTCGGTACTTTGATCATGATTCTCCCACGAAAATGCAACTTGGGTTTGTTATGCGGCGGACGAAAAAAAATATGAAGATAAAAATAAGTTTTTTTTAGCAATTGTTTGCACTTACAAGTCGGCGGGCGTGAGAAATTATGCTGAAATAAAATTTTATTCTTATTTCATTTTCAGCTCCTGTTCATTCGGCGGGTTCGCAAAACAAGGGATAATAAAAGTCTGGCCTAATATTGCTTTGAATCACAAATCACCTACTTAGCTCATTCAGTAGACTGACCATGCATCACATAGTCGATCTGGAAATCTTTGCTTCAAATCCAGGATGTTGTTTGAAAAATAGTGAGAAAAAACTTGTACTGATTCTAAAGACAGTCAGCTTGGTAGAAAATGGAGACTGTTTTCAACAAAGCTTCCGTGGACTTTGTGGACAGAAAGGGTTCTCTCCTAGTAAATACAAACAAAGGATGCTGATAACTAAAACCGTCTACTATCAAAAATAAGCATCACACTTAGAACAGTGGGCACAATTTGTATTTGTACAATACAAAGACTAGAATAACTGTCAATGTTGACTTAGGCTCCAGCGAATGAAAACCAGAGCTTATACATACAATGTACTAACCACACATTAATACCAGTTGAATCAAAGACTATAGAGAAGAGTCTTTGGTTGAATACAGCTACAAATACAGCCCTTCCTTGGCAGCATTCAGGTATGCTGAATTATAGTAACCCACGATGAACCCCAGTAACTGCACAAAGTACATTAAAAGGTGATTTTTGTGGAATAGCATACTGATCAAATTGCAAGACGTCAATGTAAGATATTTATGTAGTGATTGGTGGACATGTACATTAACATCTATGCTACGCTTAAAATAAATTTTATGGTTGTAGTTAGTAGTAAAATAAAATATTCAGTTCTTCTTCGGGCAAAGTCTGGTAGTTATTTTTTAGTAGTGGTGTTAGGGGCAGGGGGTGTCTGTCGTAATGTTGTGAAAATCAAAGAAAAACACTGCAAAATTAAAAAAAAATTAAATAATGGTGCGTCGCCACCTTATTATTAAGTGGGCTCACTGTATTTTGAGCTAGACAAGGCAGTATACCTGCCTGAATGTTTTGTCCAGCAATAAATAATATAGCAATAATATGGTATTGTACATGAAACAAACAACTCATGACCTGTGACCCAAGTGTTTGACCCCTGACCCATTCACTAACTGATACACAAGCACCGAATTAAAAGAAATACATCAGATTAATAGTTTTTGCATTTAAATAAAATGGCATTATGGATTAGTTAGAGATGTCAGTAATTCCATACTAAAGCTGTATATTCTTAACATCTTTCATCATGTAATTTGTCTTGAAGTATGTGATTTTAGTGCGTTATTTCAATGAGGTCTTCACCGCATGTCTCCAATGTTGCTTACCCTTATTCATCCGCCTTTGAAACTATGTAATGTGTCTCATAAAAAGTGTAATGTCAACAAAATTGTCTCCACATCACCCTAGCTACTTACCCTTATTTATATCCGCCTTTGATGTTTTATTGTTACATATTATGCCATGTATGTTAATGTACGTTTACCTGCTGTAATTAATTGTTTGTCATGTAAATTATTATATCCTTGCTTCATATTTAATTACTAATATATTCTTGTATTATTTTATCAGTTTTTGATTAACATTCCTCTGAAACTGCTGTGTCTAATGTCACTCACACAAGGCGGTAAGTATTGGTTCCTTATTAACACTTTTTCCCAGCAAAATGTTTGTGCTACATGTTGCCTGTTTTTATGTATTCTTTTTTGATAATTTTGGACCAAATAGACTCAAATTCCTATTTGCTATGAGTCTTAATCAAACTTTTAGAAAAATTATAGAAAAATTTGATAATTTGATAGATAAAATTATTTCTGATTGGTGTCAAATGTTTACTTTGGTGCACAAAAGGTTAATCTGTAAATCTGAATGGAAGCTTTATTTGTTACTGTTCAGCAAGTGTCACTTAATTATTAAACCTTATAAATGGTGTCTGATGAAAGTCTGCCCTCAAACTAGAAGTTGGATATGAAGTATGCCCTCGCCTGGTGAAAATTAAAGTTATGTGTACATTTTGTAAAAACTAATAAATACAAGTGGACTTCCAGGTTTTCATTGTAATGACTCTTCTCGTAGATGTCACAGAAAGTTCTATATTGTTTTGATGTGCACCACTGTACTATGCGTTATGTGTGATTTGTTGTAGAATGCCAGGCGAGGGGTTGGTGAAAAACAGCTGAAGTTGAGAAAAACAACAAAAACTGAAAATGCCTGGATGCCTCCCGCCACCCATCGCCAATCAGATATATTCTGATTCAATCAGATTCTGATTCAAATGAAATCGTCCCTCAAATATTTCATTGATGACTATGTTTGCAATCAGTATGCTCTAGTATGTTTTAATAACTAAAACATCTGTGTTTGATTGTTTCTAGGTCTACCACCAAAAGATCACAAGTTTTTCAAGACGTTGTTTCTTCAGAGCCATGGTTACGAACACACGATCAATTTTTCAAAGTTAAAAAAGTTAGGCATATTTGTTGAACAGCAACAAACGGGAGAAAGTAACATCATTGTGGATAAAGTCACTTCCCTGCAGAAAAAAAGCTTTTTCAAAGCAGTCAGCAAAAAGTTAGCATTGGTGAGAAATTTATTGTTGATTTTAGGAATGCACATCTGTTCTTTTTGCAACATAACAATTTTGGCTTTCATATAATTTACAGCGTTATACAAATTTAGGGAAATCTATCATCTATTTATCTGTCTATCGTTTGAAAAAAGGTGGTTTATTTTATTATTGGTATGATTTAAATTCTCTTTTGTGCAAGAAAATATATTCATTAATTTAAATCATTGCAGAAAAAAATGTAGGGGCGTATACTTTTGGGCAAAAAATTGGCCGAATTTTTCAACGGTGGGCTGTGTTTTTATATACCAATAAGAATCAATATTAAATGACTTTTTCCAAAGTGCAAATTCCTAAATTAGTCTGGACACTATGAATGCACTATTTCATCAAGGGCGCCTTCAATTGTCAACCTCAAATTTTATATTATACTTAAGGTAGCGAGACTATTATTTGTGTTGAAAATTTCGATTTTCACATTTACTCATTAATTGATGAATTGCACTATAAACTTTCATATGATAAATTCAACATAACATAGAATGTCATGTAGGTTGGTTAAAATGTAGGAAGCAAGGCAGCCCCCCCCCCTCCCCGTAGTGTTTTGCAAAATCAACAACACAGGTTTAATCTGTGTGCCTATAAGTTTCAAAAAAAAAATTAACTCAAGACAAGCAATGTTAGGATGTGTTATCAGTAGCTATCTGACACACAATGAGTGTTTCCTAACATTTGAGTGGTTTGTCTCCGCCCCTGTTTGTTTCACAGATTAGTCATTTGCATATGAATGTGTCAGACACAAGGTCACACAGCCACTGAAAAAAATCACTGATTTTGGTGTTTTCATTTGCCGATTTTATCGAATTATAGCTATCCCATTCCTTTATTTTTTGGTTTCCAATAGCCTTACACATTTGGATGTCCCTACACATGTTAAAACAGACCTTGATGAGAAAACAAATCGATTGTGCAGATAAACAAGCTTG